TATTACTGTACATCGAAGAATGATTTGAGAGATTTTATATGTAAGTAAATACTTCTACCCTAATTCCTTTGATTTGAGTATTTAGGTGATACTCTTTAAAGAGTAATTCATATATATATTATTTTCTAGATTATTACTCTATTTAAAACGACAGCATGAAATATTTCGATTTTTTCCTAGAGATATTTGCGTCTTAACGAGTAATAGGAAGAAACAGAGATTAACAGATTGTAAACTAACCTATGAAGTTATTTTGTGTTCTCTTTATTTTAACATCTTTGATATTGTCATTTTCTATATATGTCGGTAAAGAAAACTGGTTTTTTTCGCAATTTGTTAATATTAAGTTAACTTAATGTTTTTGGACAACAATAAACTATAGGAAAAGAAAAAGTTACGCCACTGTTGTGACATGACTTATTACACAATAGTTCACTAGTGTTGTGAAATTACTTATTACACAATAGCCACACCACGTCCTTACTATATAAACTGTCACTTTATTTCGCAGATGTTGTACAATTCATTCTAAAAGTATATTAATTATTAATATAATCCAGAACTATCAATTGGTACAACCGCCGGGATACATATTTTTCCTAGTGCCTGACTTTTCTCATATCGACTTTTTAAAAACGCTTGTTTTGAGGTTCTTCATTTTATCATTAATTCTAACTTGTTTAATTCATTGTCAATCAGATAATGGTAGTCATTACTCGTGCTACGTTAGCACGTCAACTGCCATCACTAAATCCAACTAGAACGATTGTATCAAGTGCTGTAAGGAAAAAGTACACCAAAAAGAAGAAAAGAACAGTTAAACAACGTACATCATCTAAGAAAAGAACAGTTAAACAATGTACATCATCATCTACTACTTCACCGCCATTGCAACCATATAATGAGGTCGCAGGCAAAAGTAATATTATTGATGCTAATGGATATGATCGGTACGGTAATCCAACAGGAAGAGAATACGATTTGGGTCGAGATGGAGCATTTATGGGATTTAATATTTTAATTGGACGGTTTTGTTACATTGACACCCAGAAGCCAATTGATGCACTGAAGATCAAAGGATTTCAAGTGAAACATGTAATGACTGAAGATGAATGTATAACAGAACTTGCTTCAAATCGTTATCAAATTGTATGGATTATCAGTTCTGGTCAAATTCAAAATTCGAAATTTATTTCAGCTTTAACAGCTTTTCATTCAGCTGGTGGTGCTATGTTTTTATTTGCCGATAATACACCATACGTATGTCATGCATCTGAATTTCTTACAATGGAGGTGTGTGAGATGATAAGCGAAAAGATGGCACATA